ACTTAAAATATGACTTCCTAATGCCTAATTTTCAACTATCTTATGACATGATTATTTGTATCCAATTGCATCAAATTTAATATTCAAGCAAATACCTCTCTCTCTCTCTATATATATATATACATATAATCTATTTTCTTGGTCCTTTGATGATTTTATAATCTGCTTTGATAATATAATCAATCATGTGTTATCAAAATTGATTATTTTTGTAAATTATCATCTTATTTTTTTCTTATATAAGTTCTATTTTACAGAGAGGCGGGATATAAATAATTTTGTTGTTGTTGTTGTTGTTGTTGTTTCTGGCAGTCCATACAGGCCCTTAGCCTTCTCTTGTCAGAAAAAGTTCTGGTGCCACAATAAAATGACAATTCTCAGAAAATTCCCATAGCATGGAGCCAGGGGAAGTTAAAAGCGGGATGAAACCGGATTATTCCTGCAAGTGCGGATGCAGGCCAGCTCACTCTGCGCGTGGAAGAGAGCCCGGTCCAGTGAGCGAAGGGCGACACCTGGCGGCACCAGCAACAGGTTGCACCTGGAGGCTGTGCTCAACAGGTGCAGAAGGAAAGAAGGAAGGAGGGAAGGGAGGCAGAGAGAGAGAGAAAGAGAGAAAGGGGGCTTCGACGGAGTCCTTTCCTCTCCGGAGAGGAAAGAAGATCTAGGGCCCTTCCCCACGCCAAGGTGGGAAGGGGGGAAAAGAGAAGCGCACCTGGGAAGAAACATCTCCCAAGGAAACGGGTTGAAGTCGGAGCAGGAGCGGGAAAGGGCAGGGCCAGGCTTGGAGCCAGGCTCCCGGCGAAGGGAGTAGGCGCCATGGCCTGGCCCTGGCCCTACCTGGCGCTCTGGCTCGGCCTCACCTGCCTCCCGACAGGTGAGTGGAGAAGAGGGGCAAGGAAGGGCGCCTCCGGGTCGTACTGAGGTTTAACATGTCCTCCTTCCTCCTCTCTTGCTGGGCCTCCTAGAAGGGGAAACCCCCCCCCCAACTTTCCTTCTTCCTTCCTCCTCTTTGTAGCAACTTCCTGATAAGAAGCCCCAGTTGTTGTGGTTGTGGGCCTTCAAGTCGTTTCACAACGCTGGCTCTCTCGTTGTAACAAATGTGTAGTATGCATGTTGTTGTTGTGTGCCTTACCTTCAAGTCATTTACAACTTATGGCAACCCTAAAGCAGTCCCTATCATGGTGTTTTCTTGGTAAGTTTCTGCAGAGGGGGTTTGTCATTGCCATCCTCTAAGGCTGAGAGAGTGTGACTCGGACAAGGTCACCCAGTGGGTTTGCATGGCCAGGATTCGAACCCTGATCTCCAGAGTCCTAATCCAATGCTCAAACCATTACACAACACTGGTTCTCTTGTTGTAACATGTATAG